TCTCTGTCTCTCTCTCTCTCATTACAGTATTTTCTTCAACCCATTTTCGATGCAAAGACCAGGTCAGCTATCAATCATCCCATATCAGTAACATGAAAACTGGCTTTACACTGTTAAAATGGATGAATTATTCCTACCCTTATCAGAAAACAGCCCCTACATTTTTGCTGTTGTCTTGCCAACTTAGGGACTTGACCCTGAAAATTACCTTTTCCCCTCTATTTTGTCATCAAATCCCATATCTTACTCTGTCATTCTTATCAATATTTTAAAATGACTTAGTATTTTCTAACTTAAAAAAACAAAAGCTCTCTCTTTCCCAAGTATTCCTTATTTTACAAGAGAGATACACTCCACTCTATCCCACCTGGGTTTCTACCTTGAGAGGCTGACAAGTATGCCCTCCATCAACAGATTCTCTTGACTTTTATTTTCCAAAGAGGAGCTCAAGAAGAAAACAGAAGAAAAAGATAAATGTAAATTTGATATTCATATCCTTTGTTTCCTTATTGAGGAATTTTCTTTTACCAAAGCTCTCTGCTCCTAATCATTATGGAGTTATCTTAATTTGATAGTGTCATCTGTTCCTTGATAAGTCATTGATGAAGTAATTGATATGTAGAAAGTATTAACATCTGAAAAGTAGACTCACAAAGTGGAAAATCTGGGATCTGGTAGCTTATACATTATGGATTACTGGAATAACTTCTCTGATAGAGGAAATGGGAAATGGATAACCCATGGCATTTGGTGGCATGACAATAGGTCAAATTATCACCTATTATGGCATCACAATAGGTCAAATTAGCATAAGAAGTATCCAACATGGAAGGGAAGGCATCCAGAGAGCAAATGTTTGTGGCACTTACTTGTTAGGGACACAGTAGTGATAGCTGCCCACTTCCTTCAGGCAAGGGAGTTTTTCCTTGTCTCAATGAAATCTTAAGTCTATAAATCCAGCCCTCCAATAAGTACTCAAAACAGTGTTACCCATGGATCAGTATAATAAACACTCATGAATATACATCCACTCAAAAACTAAAGATCAAAGGCCAGATACCACAATGGCTCAGGAGGCTTGAACTCCTCACTCAAGAGACATATGCTGACCGAATGGATAAAAAAAATACAAGCCAAGTATCTGCTGCCTTCAGGAAACATGTCTTACCTGCAAGAATGCATTTAGACTAAAGGTAAAGGGGTGTAGAAAAATATTTCAAGCAAATAGAAGCCAAAATAAGGCTGGTGTGGCAGTTTTGATTTCAAATAACTTAGTTTTTAAATCAACAAAAGTGATAAAAGGCAAAGAGGGTCACTATATAATGGTGAAGGGCACAGTTCAACAAGAAGACATAACAATTATAAATATGTATGCACCCAACTTAGGTGCACCCAGATTCATAAAGCAAACTCTACTTGATCTAATCAAATGCATAAACAACAAGACCATAATAGCTGGAGGCTTCAACACCCTGCTGACGGCACAAGGCAGACCCTCCAAAGATAAAATTAACAAAGAAATAATGGACTTAAACAAAGCTCTAGAACAAATGGGTCTGACTGACATTTACAGGACATTCTACCCAAAAAGCACTGAATATACATTCTTCTCATCAGCTCATGGGACATTCTCTAAGATTGACTATATCCCAGGACACAAAGCATGTCTCAAAAAATTTTTTAAAAATAGAAATTATACCATGTATCTTTTCAGACCACAATGGAATAAAAATAGAAATCAACCCTAACAGGAACTCTAATTTCTACACAAAGTCATGGAAACTAAACATATGATCACTTCATAAATGAGGAAATCAAGATGGAAATCAAAAGATTCTTTGAACTAAATGACAAAGGAGACACAAGTTCTCAAAACCTGTGGAAAACAGCTAAACCAGTCCTGAGAGGAAAGTTTATTTCCATAAATGCCTATATCCAAAAGTGGAAAAGATCACAAATAGAAAACCTAATGAATCTACTCAAAGAGCTGTAAAAGAACAGACTGACCCCAAACCCAGCAGAAGAAGTGAAATCATTAAGATCAAATCGAAACTAAATGAAATTGACAACAGGGAAACTATATGGAAGATTAATAAAACAAAAAGTTGGTTCTTTGAAAAAATTAACAAAATTGACACACCTTTGGCTAGAATAACAAAAATCAGAAAAGAAAAATCTCTAATAAGCTCAATCAGGAAAATAAAGGAGAAATTACAACTGATACCATGGAGATACAAGATATAATTTATGAATACTACAAAAACTTCTATGCACACAAACTGGAAAATGTGGAGGAAATGGACAGAAATACACAGCCTCTCTAGGCTCAACCAGGAAGAACTAGAATTCCTGAACAGACCAATATCAAGTACTGAAATTGACAGCAATAAAAAACCTTCCTAAAAGGAAAAGTCCCAGACCAGATGATTTTACATCCGAATTTTACCTACAAAGAAGATCTGGTACCTATCCTGCAGAAATTATTCCACAACATTGAGAAGGATGGAACTTCCCCAAACACATTTATGAATGAACATAACCTCATACCAAAACCAGGAATGGATGCAAAAAAAGAAACTATAGACAATATCCCTTATGAATATAGATGCAAAATTCTCAACAAATTCTAGCTATCATCCAGTGTTATTAAAAATAATCCATCACAATCAAGTGAGCTTCATCCCATGAATGCAGCGATGGTTCAATATACACAAATCTATAAATGTAATTCATCATATAAACGGAAGCAAAAACAAAGACCATATGATCCTCTCAATAGATGGAAAAAGCATTGCAAAATTCAACACCCTTTTATGATAAGAACACTCAACAAAATAGGCACGAGATGGGGCTTACCTAAAAATGATACAAGCCATATATGACACCCAACAACATTATATTGAATGGGGAAAAACTGAAAGCTTTTCACTTAAGACTGGAACAAGGCAAGGTTGCCACTATCTCTTTCTATTCAACATAGTGCTGGAAGTCCTTGCTATAGCAATCAGACAGAGAGAGCAGATTAAGGGATCCAATGGGAGGAGAGGAAATCAAACTCTCACTTTTTGCTGATGACATGATATTATACCTAGAAACCCCAAAGATTCAACCAAGAGACCCTTTGAATTGATAAATGAATTTAGTAAAGTCTCAGGATACAAAATCAATACACACAAATCTGAGACATTCATATATGCCAACAACAGTTAAAGTGAGAACTAAATCATAGACTCAATTCCCTTCAAAATAGCAACAAAGAAAATAAAGTACCTAGGAATATAGTTAACTAAGGAGGTAAAAGACCTCTACAGGGAGAACTATGAAACACTAAAGAAGGAAATAGCACAGGATGTAAACAGGTGGAAGACCACACCATGCTCGTGGGTCGGCAGAATCAACATTGTTAAAATGTCTATACTACCCAAAGTAACCTACAGAGCAAGCAATCCCTATAAAATACCATCATCATTTTCACAATATAGAAAAAATAGTTTTATGCTATGGAACCAGAGAAGACCTTGTATAGCAAAATCAATCCTAGGCAATAAAAACAAAATAGGAGGTATCAATTTACCAGACTTCAAATTATACTACAAGGCTACAGTAATTAAAAAAGCCTGTGATTGGCACAAGAACAGAGACATTGGCCAGTGGAACAGAACAGAGAACCCAGATATAAAACATCTCATATATCCATCTAATCTTAGACAAAGCAGACAAAAATACACTGGGAAAAGAATCCTTATTCAATAAATGGTGTTGGGAAAACTGGATAGCCACATGTGGAAGACTGAAACAAGACCCACACCTTTCACCTCTCACAAAAATCAACTCATGCTGGGTAACAGACTTGAACCTTAGTTGTGAAACTATTAGAATTCTAGAGGAAAATGTTGGAAATACTCTTCTAGATATTGGCCTAGTCAAAGAATTTGTGAAGATACCAAAGGCAATTACAGCATGAACAAAAATAAATAAATGGAATCTGGTCAAACTAAAAGCTTCTGCACAGCCAAAGAGACTGTCAAGAGAGCAAACAGGCACCTCACAAAATGGGAGAAAATTTTTGCAAGCTACCATCGCTAAAGCTGATAACTAGATCTATTTAGAACTAGGAATCAGCAAGAAAAAAATCAAACAACCTATCAAAAAGTGGTCAAAGGACATGAACAGAAACCTTCAAAAGAAACAGAATAATGCCAAGAAACATATGAAAAATGCTCAACATCTCTAATCATCAGGGAAATGCAAATCAAAACCACAATGAGATATCACTTATCTCCAGTGAGAATGGCCTTTATTAACAAGTCCCAAAACAATAAATGTTGGCATGGATGTGGAGAGATAAGAACACTCCTACATTGCTGGTGGGACTGCAAACTAGTTCAACCTCTGTGGAAAGCAATATGGAGATACCTCAAAACGATACAAGTGGGTCTGCCATTTGATCCAGCAATCACATTATTGGGCATCTACTCAAAAGAACAAAAGTCACTTTATGAAAAAGACACTAGCACTCGAATGTTTATAGCAGCACAATACACAATTGCAAAGATGTGGAAACAACTGGAGTGCCCATCAATACATAAGTGGATTAATAAAATGTGGTATGTATACCATGGAGTACTATTCAGCTATATGAAATAGCGGTAATATAGCACCTCTTGTATATTCCTGGCTATAGCTGGAACCCATTCTATTAAGTGAAGTATCCCAAGAATGGAAAAATAAGCACCACATGTACTCACCAGCAAATTGGTATTAACTGATCAACACATAAGTGAACATATAGGAATAATATATACTAGGTGTCAGGCAGGTAGGGGGGAATGGGTATATACACACATAATGAATATGATTGTGCACCAACTGGGGGATGGACACACTTGAAGCTCTGACTTGAGGGGGGAGTGGGGCAAGGGAAATATATAACCTTAACATTTGTACCCCCATAATATGCTGGGAAAAATTTTAAAAGAAAAAAAATAAATCTATATTACCTGAATCTGTGGAAAAAATCCAGTCCATATTCTTATTTAGAGGACCTGCTTCATATGACTTTTCCCATTAACAATTATTACATCACTTATTGTATCAGCTCCTTCAACCTTCTGGAATTATAAACCTCCTGGAAATGTACTGATGTACAAGTGAAGTCATTCACCTTCTTCTGACATCTCTGGAAGGTGTACATAGAAGAAGCAGAATTAGAAGTGTTGAATAGGAGGTGTCCACATCCAAGTAAAATACAGTAGATAGAGGCATGCCATCAATCCCATTGTACTAACTGGAAACAAAAACACATACCTTGTGTACATATTACTTTTGAGAATATGAGAGAATTGTGGGTGCAAAAAAGAATAGATCAACTAACACTTTAGAGAGTGATACACCCTCTTCAGTTGAGATGAATCTTCATGTATGCATAAAGCAATTTTAAAATATATAAATCCCTGAACAAATTTTTATCTATCTCTCACTTACCCTACACCCATAGTATGAAAACATCAGTAACTACATCTTTTGATTTATATTTCAATATGCATCTATAAAGGATAAGAGCTCTTATTGAAATGTAGCTGCAGTGTCTTTAACACACTGAAAAAAAATCACTCCCAAAGGAGTTGAAAACTTATGTTCACACAAAAACCTGCACGTGGATGTTAATATAAGTTTAAGGGATAATTTCCAAAACTTGGAAGCAACCGATATCCCTTTTAAAGGTGCCCTTTTAGAGATGAATGAATAAATAAACTGTGGTATTTTCAGACAATGGGATGTTATTCAGCACTAATAAGAATTGAGTTTGAGTTAGCCAGACATAAAAAGACATGGTGGAAATTTGATTGCATATTACTAAGTGAAATATGCCGATCAGAACAGGCTATATACTATACGTTTCCAACTATAAGACCTTCAGGAAAAGGAAAAAAAAAAAACTATAGAGACAGTAAAAGTATCACTAGTTTCCAGGGATTTGGGGGAAAAGGAGTTATGAATAGGAGGAGCACAGATGGCATTTAGGGCAGTCAAAATACTTTGTGTATAGTGGTGGATACATCCCATTATACTTTTGCCCAAACACATAGAATGTAAAACGCCAAGATTGATGCATAATGTGAATTATGGACTTTGATGATGATGATGTAGATTCATCAATTATAACGAATGTATTACTGTGGTGAGGGATGTTATAATACGGGAGGTTATGCATGTGTGGAGGCAGAGGACATACAGGAAACCCCTGTACATTTCTGCTCAATTTTTCTTTAAACATAAAACTGTTCTACTTTAAAATTACTTTAAAAAAGAAAGCTACATGCACAAACAGAAGAATAAAATTTTGGCTTGAATATACAGGCACTTTGTTCTATCTGAAATGTTTCTTTCTTACAAAATAAAATGATTAGAAGCAAACATGAAAAAAAGTTTTAGCATAAATTTTTGTGGTAAAGATATGATTGCTGGTTAATTAATCTTTTCACTTTTCTGTGACTTTAAAATGCCACAATATTAAAATAAAATAATCACAAGAAAAAAATCCTTTTTAATATCCTTAAATACCCCATCAATGTTAAAAATTCCAATTGTTTCATAAAATTTTAGTTGCCTTATTAGTTGGCTTGTTTGAATGAGATAAAGTCCACAAAATAGAACTTGATTAATATACCTCATTGAGCTTGGCTGATATTTTTCTCACTCCTCTCCTTTTAATATAAATCTAATTATGTCCCTTTCTGCTTTAAAATCTTCCAAAATTTGTCATTGCAATTAGAATATAATTCAAACTTCCTCCCACAGTGTGCAAAATCCCAGGCTGTTCACCTCAACTTGAGCCCTTTATCACCTTTGGATAAATGCAGTGCATTTCTTTCTTTCCTTTGAATATGTCAGACTGTCCTGAGTTTTATTATCCGTTTTATCTATTTGGAATGCTCTTCCCCCTATCCACATTATTAGGGACCCTGTATAGCAATTTCTCATTACTCAGGTCTCAGCCCAAAGTATGACTTCATTAGAGAAAGACTCCCTCATAAACATTTGTTTTACTCATATTATCATTTTAATTGTCTCTTTATCAATTATTTTTGGAATATTTTAATCCATGTATATACTAAGTAATTTCTTTTCTTTCTTGTCTCCTCAAATGAAAAGATAAAAGACAAAAGAAAAGATATAAATCTTCTTTACCTGGTTCCATGCTGTTTTGATAGTTTCTGGATTCATGCCTAGGACACAGTAAGCTGTCAATTAAAGATGGTTGAATAAATGAATGAATTAATTAATTCAAGAAAACAGGCCTCTTATGTTTCTCCTGAGAACCTAAACATGATTTATAAATAATATGGCTTTTATGGAATAGTTGTATATTCCTGTGTAGCAACTCATGAACAGCAATGGGGATTCACATGTTTGCATCTTTGAGGCACACGCACATTATTGCATATTTGTGAGTTGCATTTCTTTTTTGAGAGTCCATAATAATTTCAAAAATATTAAACCAACAAGATGACAAGAGATGCTTTTTGGCTAAAAATCAAATTCTATGCAATGAAACAATGAGCTGAGATAATTTCAACTTCTTTATTAATGCATCCTTAATAATAAGGTTATTTTAAATATCTTCTATAATTGATGTTACAATTAGACTACAATACGTATATTAAAATCATCTCCAAAAACTCTTTTTTTAAGACATACTTTATAAATTACATTAAGCAATAAAATTACTGCCAAAGCCAATCCCACAGTCATTTTCAAATTAGCTACCAAGAAATAAATTTCTTTTGAGAGGGTAATAAAAAGACTTATTAAAAATTTTCCAGGTCATTTGTTAAGGAGTCATTAGAATAATGCTTTTTAAGAGAAAAGGGAAAAATGTCCTACCTGATCTTTACTTCCAACACATATTAAATATTTCCAAGAGGAAAATGACTTGAGAAATTTTATTGATAAACTGTAAGTGATCAAAAAGTCACTGATAATTGGTTTTCTTATCTATAATGTTCTTAATTGTCTGTATCCAGAATCAACATCAATATTGTTTAATTTAAAATAACATCTGGAGGGGGAGTATAGAATTGTGAGTATAAAACAGAATTCTATAGAATATAGAATAGTTAAGGACTAAATATAGGCTACAACTTTCACTAGTGTGTGAAATTGGGTAAGATCTTGCTTAGCCTTTCTATACCCCAGTTTCCCCTCCTGTAACATGAGAATAATTATGCTTCCTACAACATAGGGTAATTTTGAGGATTAAATGCATTATACATAATAAACTAAGAATAGTTCGTGGAACATGTTAAACCCAACAGAGATGTTAGCTTTAGTAGTAACACAGGATAAGTAATCTACATGCAAAACGCTTGGGTCCAGAAGTGCTTAAGATTTTGGATTTTTTTAGATTTTGGACTATTTGCATATACATAATGAGATATCTTGGGGATAGTACTCATACATACCTTATATACATAGCATGAAAGTAACTTTATGAAAAAAAATTCTTTTTGGTAATTTTGTGCATGAAACAAATTTTGGTAGTGTTGAGACTGAGTCTTATCACATAAGATCAGGTAAGAAATTTTCCACTGTCATGTCTTGTCAGCATTCAAAAACTTCCATATTCTAAGGCAGTTTAGATTTTGGGTTTTCAGATTAGGGATGTTCAATCTGTGCTATTAGTATTAGTAAAAGAAGTAGAAGTAGTCATTGTGGTAATAAAATGTTATCATTAGCATTAACAAATGCCAGGTAAAGCTCCATGTGCTGAGTATATAGCATATATATTAAAATACAAATTGCAGTAAAAAAAACTTCACTTTGTTCTTTTTTTGTTTTTCTTTATTTTCCTTTTTTCCTACTTTTTAAAAAATTTCGATAGATTTAGAGGTACAAGTGGTTTTTGGGTACATGGGTGAATTATATAATGGTGAAGTCTGGAGTTTTGGTGTACCCATCACCTGAATAATGTATATTGTATCCAATAGGCAATTTTTAATCCTTTAACCCCTGTCAACCTCCCCAATTCTGAGTCTCCAGTGTCCATTATACTGCTCTTATGCCACTGCATACCCATAGATTAGCTCCCACTTGTAAGTGACAACATATGGTGCTTGGATTTCCATTCCTGACTTACTTCACTTAGGAAAATGCCCATCCCCATTCCATCCTAATTGGTGCAAAAGGCATTATTTCTTTTTTATGACTAATATTCCATAGTATGTATAAATATTATATATATATATCACATTTTCTTTATCAACCCATTGACTGATAGATGTATAAATTGATTCTGCATCTTTGCAATTGTGAATTCTGCTGCAATAAACCTATGAGTACAGGTGGCTTTTTGATATAATGAGTTCCTTCCCTTTGGGTAGATACCCAGTAGTGAAATTCCTGGATCAAATGGTAGATCTATTTTTAGTTCTTTCAGAAAGCTCTATATTTTCATCCATAAAAGTTGTACTAATTTGTATTCTCACCAACAATGTACTAATGTTTCCTTTTTATTGCAACCATGCCAACACCTATTGTTTTTTGGCTTTCTAATTAATGACCACTCTGACACGGAGAAAGTGATATCTTATTGTGGTGATAATTTGCATTTACCTGATGATTAACGATGTTGAGCATTTTTTTTTTATATGTTTGGTGGCTATTTGTATATCTTCTTATTTTTATTTCAGGATATTATGAGGGTACAAACATTTTCTTTACATTGTATGTCTTTGCTTCTTTTGAAAAATGTTTATTCATGTTGTTTTCCCATGTTTTAGGAAATTATTTGTTTTCTTTTTGTTGATTTGCTTTTCTTATGAATTCTGGTTGTTACAACTTTGTTGGAAATATAGTTTATGAATATTTTTTTCATATTCTGTATGATATCTATTTATTATGTTATTACTTCTTCTGTGCAGAGCTTTTCAATTTAAGTCCCATTTATTTATGTTTGTTTTTGTTGCATTTGCTTTTGGGATCTTACTCATAAATTCTTTGCCTAAGCCAATGTCCAGAAGAGTTTTTCCTGAGTTTAAAAAAAAAATTTACTATTTCAGGTTTTATATTTAAGTCTTCAATTTATCTTGAATTAATTTTTGTATATGGTGAGAGATAGAAACATAGTTTCATTCATCTACATATGGCTATCCAGTATTCCCATCACCATTTATTGAAGAGGGTATTCTTTCCACAGTGTACATTTTTGTCAGCTTTCTGGAAAATCAAAGCAGAAGTAAGAATTTGGCTTTATTTTTGCGTTATCTACTCTATTCCATTTGTCTATGTGTCTATTTTTATACCAATATGATGCTGTTTTGATTACAATAGCCTTGTAGTGTAATTTGAAGTCAAGTAATGTAATGTCTCCAGATTTGTTCTTTTTGCTTGGAATTGCTTTGGCTATTTGGACTCTTTTTGGTTCTATATGAATTTTAGGATTATTTTATCCAATTCTGTAAAAAATTACATTGGTATTTTAATAGGAATTGCATTGAATCTGTAACTGAGTGTATGGTCGTTTTCACAATATTGATTCTTCTAGTACATGAGCATGGGAAGTTTTTCCATTTGTTTATGTAACTTATGATTCCTTTCATCAATGTTTTGTAGTACTCCATATAGAGATCTTTCACCTCCTTGATTAAGTCTATTCCTAGGTATTTTATTTTATTTTTTCACAGCTATTATAAATGGAATTGAGTTCTTGATTTGAGTCTCAGCTTGGTCATTATTGGTGTGTAGAAATGTTACTAATTTGCATGTTTTGATTTATAACTTGAAATTTTATTAAATTCATTTATCAAATCTAGGAGACTTTTGGAGGAGTCTTCAGAATTTTCTAAATATAAGAGCATATCATTAACAAAGAGAAATTTTTCCCTGCATTTATTGAAATGATTATATGGGTTTTGTTTTTAATTCTTTCTCTGTGGTAAATCACATTTATTGACTTGCATATGTTGAACCATCCTTCCATCCCTGGGATGAAAGCAACTTGATCAGGGTGAATTACCTTTTTGATGTACGTTTAGATCCTGTTTGTTTGTATTTTGTTGAGGATTTTGGTGTCTATGTTCATCATGGATATTTGTTTGTAGTTTCCTTTTTTTTGTTGTGTCTTTTCTTGACTTTAGTAAAATTTGATTGTGAATCCAATTTGTCTTGGGCCTTTTTGTCTGAAGATTGTTTATTACTGAATCCATCTCACTACTTGTTATTGGTCTGTTCAGGATCTCTATTTCTTCTTGATTCCAGCTTGGAGGTTTCCAGGAAGTTGAAAATTTCCTCTAGATTTTCTATTTTGTGTCTCACATGATGTTTTGTATTTTTGCTGCATCATAGTACCTCCATTTTCATTTCTGATTGAGCTTCTTTGTATCCTCTCTCTTTTCTTGGTTAATCTTGCTAGTGGTTTATCAATTTTGTATATCTTTCAAATAAACAACTTTTCATTTCATAGATCCTTTTTTGTTTTGTTTTGTTTCAATTTTGTTCAGTTCTGCTGTGATTTTTGCTATTTATTTTATTCTGATGGCTTTTGTTTTGGTTTGTTCTTGTTTTTGTAGTTCCTAGAAGTGCAGCAATAGGATGTAAATTTGTGAAGTTTCTGTCTTTTTGATGTAGGCATTTAATACTATATATTTCCCTCTTAGCACCATTTTTATGTATCCCATAGATTTTGATAACTTGTGTGACTATTATCATTCATCTAATTTTTTTAAATTTCCATCATAATTTTATCATTTAGATAACTTGTGTGACTATTATCATTCATTTAAAAGTTTTTTTTTAAATTTCCATCTTAATTTTATCATTTACCCAAAGATCATTTCAGAGCAAGCTGTTTAATTTCCATGTATTTGTACAGTTTTGAGAGTTCCTTTTGGAATTGATTTTTAGTTTTATTTCTACTGTGATCTGAGAATATAGTTGATATAATTTAAATTTACTAAATTGTGACCTCCATATGGTCTATCCCTGAAAATGTTTTATATGCTAATGATAAGAATATATATTCTGAAGTTTGGAGATAGAATATTCTGTAAATGTCTGTTAAGCTCATTTGTTCTAGATTGCAGTTAAATTCAATGTTTTCTTTGTTGACATTCTCCTTTGGTGATCTGTCTAGTGCTGTCAGTGAAGTGTTGAATTCCTCCAAAATCATTGTATTGCTGTCTAATTCTTTTCTCAGATCTAGTAGTATTTATTTTATGAATCTGGGAGCTGCAGTTTTAGGTGC